TTTTTGTTTTTAGTGTAGTTTTGTTTTGTTTTATGCTTTAATTTTCTGTATGAATTGTAAAACACCTTTAAGTCATAAAAGACCTGTGTTCAGTGCAATGCCAAACAAATCCTGTTGTTTGTCCACAGGCTGTATTCAGCTCTGTGGACTTAGAAAACTATAAATAAGACTTAGTTCCTACCCCAGAGTAGCATTTTGCCTGCATGGAGAGCTAAGACTGCACAGATGGGTGGAATGGGCTGTGGTCCGCCCCCCACCAGCTGGCTGACTCCTCCAAGGCAGGGTTGTGGGGTCTGTTGTGTTCTCTGCTGTACACTTAGTAGGCACCTAACAAATGCGTTGAACACACTGTTGAATGAATGGATGCAGAAATACGTTTAGAAGGAGAGCCTACCGGTATCTGGCAGAGTTTGGGAGACTTCCGTGGAGAAAGTGGTTTTTGAACTGAGGATTTGAAAATACAGCAGTGAGGGAAGACGGACAGTGTGTGAAAGGAGTGCGGAAGTCAGACTTTGAGACGAGTTGTAGATGAGAAAAGCTGGATGAAGGGGCTCTAGAGGGGGAAGACTGATAAAGACAAGCGTGAGGTCAAATTCTGCAGAACCATGAGTGTCAGTCTCAGAAGCTGCTTAGGTATCAGGGAACCACTGACTGTTTACTAAGCAGGGGAATGGCAAGCACATAGGCAGGCTTCAGGAAGCTCATCGATGTGTGTGGTACGAGTGAGCTGAGAGCAGCCTGGAGAGCTATGCCTGGGAGTGGACTAGGGTGCTGTGCCAGCCACACGGGGTGCTGAGGAGAGACTGTGGCCAAGGGATGGAGGTGAAGGAACCTGGTAGTGTAGTGGGTTGTACGTTGGGCTGCTGACTGCAAAGTCAGCATCTCGAATCCACCAGCTGCCCTGAAGGAAAAAGATGAGACTTTCCACTCTCAAAAAGATTTACAGTCTCGGAAACTCTATACAGGATGTCTCCGTAAGTTGGAACCGACTTGACGGCACACAGCAGTGGCAGCAGGAATAGAGTTGACAGGTGAAAGAGGTCCATGGGTATTAGAGGCGCTGGAGACTGGAAACTGGGTGTTTGTGCCAGGTGTCAGCATGGTGCTGTAGATGAACATAGCGAACATGGAAGAAGAGCAGGTGTGGGCCTACACACAGCCAGGACAGATGAAGGGAGGGGCATCTGGGACTGGCCGTCAGGGGATGTGTTCATGGATGCTGGTACCACCAGTAAGAGAGTTAGGAGGATTTTGTCCACCAAGCATAGACTGTGGTCAAGCTGCATTAAGAACCTGGATTCCTGTGGTGGTCACATGTGGGTGTGGTAAATTCAAACTGCAACCCAATGTGTAACCCACGGTGCCATTGGGGCTCTTAACACCTCCATCCCTGTCCTGTCCTAAACCTTCGCCATAGTCTCTCCTCACCACCTCCTGCCTGGCTGTGTTTAGACATGGAAATAGAAATTAATACAGTTTATTATTGTGAGGGGCTTCCAAAAGCTCATGGAAAAATTCCAATGTCTATCTTGTAATTCAACTTTTCCATGACCTTTTTGAAGTTCTATCGTGTATTGTTGTTAAGTGCCATCGGGTCGATTGTGACTTGTAGTGACTCTCTGTACAGGGCTTCTGAGGAGCGGTAGGCAGGTTTGAACCACTGTCCTTGTTTTTCATAGTCCAGTGCTGATCCTGCAGCGCCACGCCAGGAGTCCTTGTATATTGTGTTGTTGTTGTGAAGTGCCGTCGAGTTGGTTCCGACCCATAGTGACCCTGTATAGGGTTTCCGGGGAGCGCTGGTGAGCTTGAACTGCCAACCTTGCAGTTCAAATGGCTTTGCAGTCTGATGCATTAACCCACAGCGCCATACCCGGACTCCTTGTATATTGTAAGTGTTTGTAAATACATATTTGATTTTGATTGGGATATAATTTATAGACAATCAGGTGCAGTGGTTTAAGCACTCAGCTTCTAACTGAAAGGTTGATTGGTGATTTGAACCCACCCAGTGGTTCCTTGGGAGAAAGACCTGGTGATCTGGTTCCGTGTAAAACTACAGCCTGGAAAATCGTATGAGACAGTTCTGCTCTGTGACGTGGCGCACCATGAGTCGATATTAACTCTGGCGCCCAACAACAATACAACTGTGAGACTACCAGCACATTCAAATTACAGACCATTTCCACTGCCCCCTTCTCAGCACTTTTGGTGTCTTTCCCTTCCTCCTCCCTGGGCCTCAAATGATCACTACTTTTGGTTACTATTAGTTTGCATTTTCTAGAATTTCACATGCTTGGAATCATGTGAGTATGCTTTTTATATTTATTTGACTTTTTATTGTGGACAGAGCAAATCAGCTTGCCATTCAACAGTGTGACAACTGCAGTCCCCACAACGACACATCACTTATCCCGCTTCCTCCCCGCGATTCCTGTTTCCATTCCTCCTCCTTTCCTAATCCTTCTGAACTTTGCCCTTGGAAAAGTATACATTTTTTTCAGCTTTTATTGTGAATTGAGTGATAGTTTACATGGGAAAACAGTGATTTTACACTCATCCTATCATATTTCGTTTCATTGCAATAATTACAATCCCCTCCTTGCATCATTATTTAACAATATTTACTTCTGTTCCCTCTGAATGAATTTATAGTCATTTAAACTACCCAAGGGCACATTCTACAAACCTGCCTCCTGGCTGCCAGCACACAGCCTTTCTCTTTCCATGAGTCTAGAGTCCTTGGATGCTCTATCTCTCCATGTCTTCATTTCTGCTTCCATCTCTGGTGGTGTTGCTTCTCTGGATAGGGTCCCACATTCCATTCAAGCAGAATCATCTCCCTTGATGGCCCTAGGGTCCTCTGTTCCTGGAATGAAAGTTACAAAACTTCTACCTTTACAGTTGTGATGATCGCATTTAATCATTCTCACAATTACTCCCTAATTGAATCATAAGAATTTTATCCCCATCTCCTTTCACCAGATCCATCTAGACAAGATGAAAGCTATTAGGTGGGGATTCTGAAATTAAACTCCCTCTTAAAAATTTGTAAGTCAACCACTTCGTGCCTTTATAGCCCACTCATTTTAGTTAACCAGTGTCTAAGGAGCTCTGGTAGCGTAGTGGTTACAAATCGGGCTGCTATTCTCAGGATCAGCAGTTTGAAACTACCAGCTGTTCCACAGGAGTAAGTTGAGGCTTTGTGCTCTCGTAAAGATTTACAGCCTTGGAAACCCTGTACAGGGTTTGCTATGAGTCGGAACCGACTCTACAGCACTTAACAACAATGTCTAAATTGACCATCCCTATTGGAGTCCTGTGTGTGGCGCTGTGGGTTAATGCACCAGACTGCAAAGCCATTTGAACTGTAAGGTTGGCGGTTCAGGCTCACCAGCTGCTCCTCAAAAACCCTATACAGGTCGCTATGGGTCGGAACTGACTCGACAGCAAACAACAACATCAACCCTGTATAAGGAGCTCTCATAGCGTAGTGGTTATGAATCGGGCTGTGAGCCACAAGGTCAGCAGTTCAAAGGTCAGCTATTCTGTGGGAGAAAGATGAGGCTTTCTGCTCCTGTAAATCTTTACAGCCTCGGAAACCCTAAACAGCATCGCTATGAGTCAGAACCGACTCCACGGCACATAACAACATCAACCCTGTATAATACCAAGGGGATGTGAAGACTCCTTCCCTCTTGGTTGGTACTTTGTGCTACTGCATCCATAAGTATAGGTCAAGTTCATCAAATTGTGGCAATTCACACTTGGTTCCTTTATCAAATTTCTTATATTCCTCCAGTTGAGCTCTGGTCATCAGGCCATTGAGGCTAGGTCAAATGGGTACTATCTGCAAGTTTGGGTGTTCTTGTGGGTCTGCCCCCACTTCACATCAGCTGGATACTTCACTCTCAGCTCTTGCCCTCCCTGGCTATGTCCTTGGACAGGGCTCAAGAGTTCCCAAGTTTCCCTAGACTTCAGACCAACCAGACCTTTCTCTTCTTTCTCTCTTCTCAAGGTCAACAGGAATCTATGGAACATGGTCGAACTCAGCCCATATCTTCATTACTGATTTTCCCCTACTTCCACTCACATGTAGACCAACATAGTCCCTTTGTAGCTTACATGCCTGCTTGTGTGTTCTTTTGAGTTTCTGTCTTGGGAGGGAGGTTTGTCCTGAAGGGACTTGATTGCCTGCATTGATGGTTCCCCGGCCAACAGCTTGCTTGTTCTTGTAATAGACCAACAGACTGCCTGTTTTGTTCTTTGTTTTGTTTCTTCTGCTGGTCTTTCTTCCAGGAAGTATCTTCTGTTCCTGTAACCACCCTGAGCTGGTCTTGCATGTCCTTTCAAGTGGGACTGTCCCACCTCAGAAGGTTCTGGATCGGGCTAAGGATTCCACCCAAGGTCCTATACACTATAAGGGAAGAAGGGAAGGATACGTGTAATCCTGATGTCTTTTACTCATTGTGATGAATTTAGGATTTGATGCTGTGTGCATTAGTAGCTCAATTTTATGAGCATATTTTAAACATAATGTTTTCCCTTCGGGCCCTGTGTATGCGTATCCAGAGTGGAATCACTTTCCTCTCCAGCTGCCTCTAACAGCCCGAGACAGCCTGTTTTCCAGCCTGCAGCAGCTAGAATGAACTTTATAACTCGTGACCTCGACTGCTCAAAATCCATCTGTGGTTATGCATGTTGTCAAGGCCAGAATCCATTCTGCGTGTGATCTGCCGTCCCCTCCAAACTCGGCTCCATCCACCACTCCCTTGATTCTCCTTGACTCTTCACTCAGCCATCACTTCCTCAAGGAAGCTTTCCTTGAGCTCCCTCTGCACCTCTGTGGGGTGGCTTTCCTTTTGTTTGTGAGCTTGGCTTAGTGCTTGCCCTGAATCCCCTGAGGTCAGGAGCCGCTCTGGTGCCTAGCACTGTGCCTGGCACTCAATTCCTGACAGAATGGATGTCCCTTTGGAGATGGTTCTATCTTTCTGACTTTGCAGGATGAGCAGCTGAGGGCCCTGGTGAGGCAGTTTGGACAGCAAGACTGGAAATTCCTGGCCAGCCATTTTCCTGTGAGTACTGCTCTCTCCTTCCCTCTGTGCCCCCTCCCTGCCGACACACTCACACTCTGATTCCTCCCACCCAGGTCAAGGGTTCTGGGCTCTGGGTGACTAGAGTGGGCGTGGTACAATTCCTGCCAAGGAGAAGAAAAGGGAGTAAGGTCTTAGCAAGAATGGCATGCTCCCCCATTCAAGAACAAAACAAAACAAAACACACAACCTTCCTAGGACCTTTCTTCCCAAACCAGAAGAAGGTGGGGGGCTTCCTGCCATAAGTAGCTCCACCCAGTAGCCTCAACATGCCTACTGCTTTGTAGGCTCTTCAGTACTTGTAGCATGTTACCAGCGCCAATATGTGTTTCCATATTGTGTTGGCAAGAAACAGCCCAGAGTCCACGGGTCCAGGCCACAGCCCCCTCAGGCTACTGCCCAACCAGAGCCCAAGCCCATAGGCCCCAGCAGTACTGACCATCCCTGTTTACTCTCCCTGTTCGCATCTCAGAACCGCACTGACCAGCAATGCCAGTACCGGTGGCTGAGGGTTTTGAATCCAGACCTTGTCAAGGGGCCGTGGACCAAAGAGGAAGACCAAAAGGTAACCTGGGATGGCAACTCACATATGCGCGTAACTGAGGCGGTCCTTCCCTGTGGGAGAGCTATCAATCTGTTCATTGAATGTGAGTTGTCCCACTGGCCAGTCAGGAAGATTCCCACACTGCAACGGCTTTGGTTCCTAGGTCCCGAGTCTCTAGGCGTCTCCATTCACTAACTGAGGATTTGGGCAAACACTTGGTTGGAACCAACTATAGCACTCACAGTAGGCAAGTACAATTTCCTCATCGGTGAAATGGGGCTAAGATAATAACAACAACAAAATATGATAACAAGTCTGGAAACGCCCTGTAACCAACCGGAAAGCCTGGGAACTCCGTCAGCTGCACCTGTCCCCGTGAACCAATTCCTCCTCAGGAGTATTCACGGTGAATGCTGTCCCCAGGTTCCACTGCAGGGACAGCGGCTGCTCCACATGTAGGGGTTCCCTGCTCACCACTGAGTTCACTGTAAACTTGATACCCCACCTAGTGCTGCCATGTGAGTGCCACAGACAGCTGTGCCCTCGGCTCCGGTCATTGGGAACCCCACCCATCACCTATTGGATACCCAGCTTTTGTTTTCTCACTCCCACATGGGATTATACAGCTCTTGTGAGGGTCGAACAAAAGGACACATGGAAATCAGTTGGCACATCCCTGGACCATGGTGAGGGCTCAGCACGTGGGCACCAGTATTAACCTTCAACCTAACGATTACCTCACTGGGAAAGCCTCCTGACGGGTGCTGTGTTTCTTTGAGCCCCACAGCTGTCCTGTGAGGTGGGCAGAGAGTACTGTTAATGCCAATTTTATAGATGGGGAAACCAAGGCGCAGAGAAGGTTGAGGGGTGCACCCAAACCAGGAAGCAGCGGAGCCACGACTGACTTGGGCACCGCTGTCCTGCTGGGCACCTCCCCGATCCATCTGTGGTGCTTCTCCCTGATGTCAGATCAGAGGACACCATCCCACCAGGGCGAAGAAGGAGCAGATGGAGCAACAAACTTGATTGAATGGTTCAAGTTGTGCCGCAGTTCACACTCTCCTTTTCTGTATGGATCCTCCTCTGTTAATAAACTCAATGCCGCCTAAGTTTCCTTTCAGGTCTGTTGAGTTCTGCTAACATTTGATCACTAACAGACAATTTTCAAATGAGTGCAATGTTCAGGGTAGACATTCTTTACTAAGTGAGCTGAACTATGGTTCGGTTTAAAGAAAACTTAAGGGAATATTTTTGGCTTAGGGTTTAAAGAGGATCATAGGGCAGTAGTTTCAGGGGTCCCTCCAGCTTCTCTGGCTTTAAAAGAGATTTGAAATTCTCTTCTGTATTTTCCCCTTCTGACCTGGATTCTTCTATAGAACCTTTACTGTAAAATTAACTCAAATCCTAGTTTTAAAAATGTCAAAGTCATGAGTGTATTGTAAAAGTTCAAACCATACAGAAATGAAGTAAAACATCTCAGCAAAATCCTCTTGCCTAGAAGAAGCATGTATTCTCCCCAGGTTGATGTATACTGTGTGCACAGGTGCCCTTGGGTCCAGGTTGTGGGAGGGGCCTTGGCTGGTGCAGGCAGCTTTGTGTAGTTTGGTTGGTGTTCTGAACAAGGAGGACTGGATTCCAGCCCGGCTTAGCTCCTCAGGCCTGGTACCTGCTTGGGGCTGTGCTCTCCTGGTTCCCACAGCAGTTCTGGAGGGACTCAAGGCAGCCCTGGATATGGCTGGGCTAGGTCTAGCCCCCGGCCTGAGTTTACAGAGCCCCTTTGTGGGAAGTGAGCCAGTTTGGACTCGTATTGGGCAGTCTCTTCTCTTCCCCTGAACTCTTGAGCGTGGCGTGTTGGTTGGGTGGAGCGTGCACGGGGAGGGCACGATTCCTGCATCCTCACTTGACAGGGATGTGGTAAAGTCTTCTGGCAGGTGACTGTGATTATACCTCTGAGCAGCACCTACAACCAATTGTGGCTCCCCTGTTTCCTGAGGGTGTGGGGCAGGTTGTGACTTCTCAGGATCTCCATGAGGTTCAGGTTTGAGTTTGGATCAAAAGGTGCTTTGGTGCTGATGAGGAAGGAGGGGCTGGCTTCACCCAGGATTTTCTCTAAGGTCATTGAGCTGGTCAAGAAGTACGGCACAAAGCAGTGGACTCTGATCGCCAAACACTTGAAGGGCCGGCTGGGCAAGCAGTGTCGGGAGCGCTGGCACAACCACCTCAACCCTGAGGTGAAGAAGTCCTGCTGGACTGAGGAGGAGGACCGCATCATTTGTGAGGCCCACAAGGTGCTGGGAAACCGCTGGGCCGAGATTGCCAAGCTGCTGCCCGGCAGGTGAGGCCCCCCTCCCCTAGCCTCAGCTCTGGAGACCCCCCAGGAGACATGCATTGTCAGGGAGAAGGTGTAGTCCTGCCAGCAGTCAGGAGGCTGGGGGGCTGCTCCAGCTCTGCTGTCTTCCCAACTTGTTAGGTCTCCTTGGTCAGCCCCTTCCCCTTAGGGGGACTTAGCTTCTCCCACAGCTGATAACAAAAAGGGTGGGAGTTTTGGTAGGTGGGCTTGCTTTAAGGAGCAAAAAGGATAAAGCCATAGTACAACATATTAACTCAAGACACTTGATAACAACCACATATTAAAACAGTTATAGTGAACACCACCAGTCTTCAGCCTCCACGTTTGTACTAATCTAGTAATCCAGTGACCTTCTTCTTTTTCACTTACTTCTTGCAGTATTTACCTCCATGTTTGCACATGATACACTACCTACTTTTTTTCCCTTAGCTTTATATTGTAAGTTGAGTGAAGGTTTACAGAGCAGGGCGTCAGCTTTGCAGGCAACAAATCATACACAGGTGTAGCAGTTAGGATTTGCAGCACATAGTTTTAAGTCCTGGTGTAGCCGTGAAGGATAAGCACTGGACTGCTAACCACAAGATCAGTGGCATACAGCAACAGTTTTTGAGGTGCCCAATTCAATCCATAACAGCCCATTACATCAGATGCCCAAGAGATAGTAGGCAGTATTGGGGTTCTGTGCAGTGTTTAGAGAGCCAGTCCGGGAGTCCTCTATCCTTCTCTGCTATTCAGTTTCCAGGCCTGCTGCCCGCTGTCCTCCTGGCTCTCTTGATCCACTATTGTCTGCTCCCTTGTTTTGGTGGAGCACACACTTCCATATGCTCCGGAGATCGGGCACATCCTGAGACGCCTTTATTCTAGCTCACATTTGGTTGGTAGTTGAGTTTGAAAACCATTTGTCTTCAGATCATTAAAAGCATTCCTTGATCTTTTCTTCTCTCTCTCTCTTTTTTTTTTTTAAATCTCATTTGTGCTGTTTTCTGAGAGTTTTGTGTTAACCTTTTAACCCTTTCAGGAAATGATTTTGACTAAAAAGTTTTATTTTCTAAGGGCTTGTTCCTTTTTCTAGTACCCTGTTATTAGTTGATGGCTGTCCCTGTTGCTGTGTGGATGTTGATAATGTTTTTTGCCCCCCTCCTCCAGGTTCTCTTTCCTGTTTGTTTTACTAATTGTATTACTTGTTAGAGGCTTCCTCCATACCCCTGAAAGCCATGTGGAAGCCCATGTCCACAGACAGGGCTTATCTGCTAATGAAGTTCAGTCCTGAGATTGGACAACCAGCAGCCTTTTGCGGGGAGATTCCCACCATCAGCCTGTGGAAGTCTGTCTCCTGGAGTTGGTCAGTTTACCAGAGATGACTGAATCCTTCCAACTCTTGCCTGAGCGTGTCTAAGCCTGCCTGTTGGGAGATGAGAAGGGACTGCTTTGCTCTGCACTTCTCTCATGCTGCATTACTCTAGTCTGTGCTTTTCTCTTACTTCATACTTGCCCAGTCCTGTCTCACTCTCGCCACTATACTACTGTATTAGTCTGTACTTGTAAACTGCTGTATTACTTGGAGTCCTGGTGTGGCACTGTAGGATAAGCACTGGAACACAAGGTCAGTGGTTCAAACCCAACAACAACTGTATTACTCTACTTGTGCACTACTGTATTGCTCTATACACTCTGTACTTGGTTGGTGGTGGTGTGCTGTGGAGTCAGTTCTGACTCATACTGGCCCTGTACAGGGTTTCTGAGGCTGTACATCTTTACAGAACAGAAAGCCTCATCTTTCTCCCTCAGAGTGGCTGGTAGATTCAAACTGCTGACCTTGTGATTAGCAGCTTAGGCTCATTATCCTGTATGTTCCCAGGGCTCATTCTATACTTGTATGCCACTGTATTAGTCTATCCTTGTATTACTTGTATTACCCTATACAACCCCTTTTCCAGCCTGCAGCAGCCAGAGTGAACTTTATCACACTGACCTCCATTGTTCAAAATCCATCAGTGGTTGTACACGTTGTCAATATTACTGTATTACTTGATTTTTGTATTTATTAAGTGCCATCAAGTCACAGCAACCCTGTGTAGGATTTCCAAGGAGTGGCTTGTAGGTTTCAGCCATCGACCTTGTGGTTAGCAGTTCAATGCGTATCCTACAGCGCCACACCAGGACTTCCTATTCTTGTATACTATTGTATTACTGTAGACTTTTATACTACTGCATTATTTTATTCTAGTCTACACAAGTTGGCAGTTCAAACCCACCAGCCATTCCTCAGAAACCCTATACAGGGTCACTATCAGTTGGAACCGACTCGATGTATATATATGTGCCTCGCCTCATTTAATCTTTGAAAGATGTTGGAATCTGAAGTAGTTCTTGGAGTTTCAGATTAAGAAAGTTAACAGTAGAGGAGCCTCTGGCATTTGGCCTTGTCCTCTTTGGACACGTTGTGATCTGTGGCGGACAAACAGAGCTGCATTCTAGATCTGTGTGACGCTCAGGACGGGCCAGCAGTCAGTGTTTTATCTGTGGTTTCTGTGGATGCAAAATGGGCAGGAAAGAGAGTAAGAATTCCAAAGACATAGAGGTTTTTTTAAATTTTTACAACAGGCGGAATTACAGTTTTATCTATTTTGCAGAGGTATTTTGGAAGTGTTCTGTAAAGCAGTAAGGGTTGGTGAAATGTGAGCTTTTACTGTAGAGCTGAAAGAGACCTTAGAATCCATCTGGTTGAAACCCTGGATCCACTTGAGTGAACGAAGCCTCAGGGAGATCAGTGGCACACTGCTCACAGAACTGGGGTTCAGAGGTCCTTGGTTTGTCCCTGCAGGACAGACAATGCTGTGAAGAACCACTGGAACTCTACCATCAAAAGGAAGGTGGACACGGGAGGCTTCCTGAGTGACTCCAAAGACTGTAAGCCCCCTGTGTACTTGCTGCTTGAGCTCGAAGACAAGGAAAGTCACCCGAGTGCCCTTCCCACTGAAGGTCAGGTGAGATGCTGCCCTTCTCCGCTTGTCACTTTACCTACTGCAATTCATCGGTTTCTGCCACAGCGTAAATAAATGTCCACAGCACCTTTAGGAGAAGTCTCCCTGTGAAATCAAATTGTCTGCAGTAACTGAGTATATAGGTAAGATGTTTTGGGGTGGTGAGTTTTTCAATCATTGGCGATGAAACAGTGTGGGTAGTGAGAGCAAGAATGGAGACACAACATCATGAATGTCACCAGTGTTGTTAAATTATGCACGGAGACACTGATGTTCTGTGCATATATTCACCAGAATATAAATTAAAAATGTCAAAATATGATGCCCTGACCTGGTGCATCGATTCTACTTGAAGTTTTGTTCAAGAAGCTTGGGGAACAATGTCAAATATCTATCAACATTAAAGTGAAATTGAGTAAGATTAAAAACAGATCAAGGAAATTTTATTATATAGAATCAGACCATCCTTCCCTCAGTCACTCACTTAATCTATTCCTTCCGTCTTTCCACAAGTATGTATTGGGATCCTCTCTAAGCCAGGCACTGTTCAGGCCCTAAATATCAGTAGCGTGTTTCTCACTAGGGCCCTTATCTAGAAACACATCTGCACACAAGTGGCGTTTTTAAGACTAAAAGAAAACCAGAGCTTGCTGTGACATATTAAGGGCTTCAAAAGTTATTGGGAAAAATCCCATTATCTTTTAATTCCATTTTCCACAAATTGTTTCAAGTGCCCTTGTATAACATTGAGAATCAAGATGAGGTTCGTGTCAGTGCCGACTCGTGGCGCCCCAAGTACAATTGAATGAAATGCTGCCCTCCGCCTTCACACGCAGAGCCTGCTGTGTATCCAGTTCCGAGTTTACCTTCCAACATGTGACCTGCACACAGGGTATTCATTGGCTAATTTTTGGAAGTAGATCCACCAGGCCTTCTTAGTCTGTCTCCGTTAGGAAGTTCTGCTGAAACCTGTGCACTGTGGGTGAACTGCTAGTATTTGAAATACCACTGGACAAAGAGACTGGTGGTGGGAAGAGGGTCTTAGGGCCCTCCTAGTCAGTAGCTTGTTTTCAAACCTTTTAATACTGAAAGCGTGTTTTTTCATTTAAAAAGTCAGGGTTGTTGAGGTGTAATTTGCATGCAATAGAATTCTTTGTGTTTATTAGCAAGTTTCGAGTTAGCACAAAAGTAGAACCAGTTGCATAACCATCACTATACCCAAACTAGAACATTTCCATTCCCCCCAATCTCCCCGAGCCCCTTGTCAGCTCTTCCCCACCCCAGCCACTGGCACTCTGAATCTTTTTGCTGTCTCTATGATTTTGCCTTTTTTAGAGTGCCATATGGGTGGCATCATATGGAATAATATTTGCAGATTTGCAGTTTTTAAACTGAAACTAATGTGTGTGCTTGTCAGCATCTCCTGTCCCATCCCCAGAGCAGCCTTTTAGTCATGCTTTTTTTTTTAACTATATTGCTAACTGCTTTATTTCTCCAAAAATATTTGAAATGAATTGAGTTGTCCTTTTTCTTTAGACCATTTGTACAAGGTGGAATTCCATTTTCCCAAGAATTTTTTGAAGCCTTCTCATATATCATCAGTCTTTCTTAGTCTTTCATGATACTGACATGTTTTTAAGCAATCAGGCAAGTTGCTCTATAGACTCTCAGTTTACGGTTCCTTATTGTTAGGCTATTCTTTCACGTTGATCTTCATGCTTGATAAAGTAGAGGCTCAGTGAAAAAGAGGAAGACCCTCAGTAAGATGGATCCACACAGTGGCTGCAACAATGGGTTCAAACAGCAACAATTGTGAGGATGGTGTAGGGCTGGAGGTGGGGGGTTTTACTCTCTTGTGCATAGGGTTGCTTAACAGCACCTAATAACTACAACTGTACCTTATAGATTGAGCTTACGCGGTTTTAGATATAGGTTGTACATGTTTAGCTAAAACTAACTAGGTGTGTCAGAGTAGAACTGTACTCCACAGGGTCTGTAATGGCTGATTGCTCATAAATAAGTCACCAGGCATTTCTTCCAAGGTAAGTTGCCGCTGCTCTCCTCCTCTTAGTCAGCAGCCAATCACATTAATAACATTGACACCACCCAGACTTCCGCATGTTACTGGTCTCATAGGGCGCTGAACGGGTTAGTGCGGCTGGACTCCCTGCTGAGAATTGTCCTTCCCACCCCAGATATTTTGAATCAGTCTACAATCTAGCACGATTTTCAGGTGATTCTCATGTGTATTTGGGCTCTGTAAGAATCACCTGAGGATCTGATTCAGAACATCTAGGGTGGAAACGCCAGCACTCAGCGGGGGGCTGAACAGGAGGAACCGGTTCAAAACTTTGCTCTCTGTAGCAAAAGCCCAGATGGTGTGCTTTGTATCTAACAGGGAAGTCTTGTGACCAGCTGGCCCCTGGTGCCGCCCCTCATCAAGGAGGAGGAAAGCAGCGAGGAGGAGGCCCAGGCAGCCACCATGGCTCAGGAGTACGAGGCTGTCCCTGCAGAACTGGGTGTAGTGTGGACGCCAGAGCCCCTGGAGGACTTCCCCAAGCATGAGGACCAGGAGGGCTCCCCGCCTGAAGTGAGCCTGCCCTACAAGTGGGTGGTGGAAGCCTCCAACCTCCTCAGCCCAGCCGTCGGGTCGTCTAGCCTCTCTGAAGCCCTGGACTTAATCGAGTCGGTAATGTTGGTTCCAGCAGTTCACAGGGGAGTGCTTCCTTCATGGGCGTGTGCTTGTCCGTTCATGCCTCCACCCTGCCACCGTTTACCAAGTCCATGTCGCATGCCTGGCTCTGAGAGTGTGGCTGGGGGACACTGAGGGTCCCTGTGCCTGGGAATTCTCAATGTGAGCGACAGGGATATGCAGACGGTGGGTGGGAAGTCCTCTAGGATGACTTGGGATGCACCACACACATTGTTGGATTGCCCTGGAGAGGGGCTTAGGGAGGAGGGCTGGAGATTTGTGAATGGAGCCATCTCCCTGACTCCCTGCCCATGCTGGCTGTGGGCTGAGTCACTTTGCAGAGAGCCAGCCCCTCGATGGGGACTGCACCCCCATTGTGGCCACAGTCCTGTGGCATGGAGTGTGCTGCAGGTGATCAGGGCCAGTGGGGTTCAGTGGGAGGACCCCACATCCACCTTCCTCTTGGCCTGTCCTCTGCTTAAGAATACTGTTGCTGTTTTTGAGCATCTGTCGGACACCAGGCTCTGAGCTTCATGTGCTGCAGCCTCAGAGTAGTCTGTGTCGTGTGTTCTTTCTCTGTGCTCTGCGGGTGAGTGCGGGCTGCAGAGAGTGGAGTCATGCAGTGAGCAGGGTCTTGACCGAGTGCCGTGCTCCTGCCCAGTGAGGGGTTGGGGGGGGAAGTGATCTTCAAGGGGGGGGGCCATCTCCTCAGACTCAAATCCTGCCAAGAGATATGTCCAGGTGAACGGGGCCCACTTTGTATCCAGCAGTTTCGGCTTCCTGGTGTTTGTGTCACTCTGTTCTAAGACAGTTCTCAGTTTCCCTCCGCTTGACGGGGACAGGAAGAAGCTCACTTTAATTGAGCGCCCCCCTGTATGCCAGGCCTAATGCTTAGTGAGTAATTGCAGTGTGTAATAGCCCTGTGAAGCGGTGGGGGCCTTATCTCCAGTGAGGGAAGCCAGGCTCAGAGAGGCTAAGGTATGTCTGGCTCCAAGTTCAGGTTCCTTCTACGATGATCTTTAGTGGCTCTCAGGAGAATGAAAGCATCTGCAGGCCGTGTTCTGTCCCTGCCCTGCAGCCTCTACTTGCGGTAGCTCTTAGTTGGGTCATTTCTGGCCTTTCAGACTCCATCACTTCTAGGGCCTCCCTGCAGTGGGGTTTGCTGCTGAGAGTGCAGGCTTGCCCCCAAACTGGGCTCCTCCATTAGAGGGAACAGCTCCTGGCTCCTGTACCTCCTAAGGACTAGAAATCACCATTGGGGGCTGGCTGTCCTCTGGATCAGGCCTCCTAGGACTGAAGTGGAATCTTCCATCCCCACAACCTTTGGGCCTAGACTGTGATTTCCTGGGTTAAAGTGGGAAGACCTGGCTGGGAAGGTCTTTGGACAGACACCCTTCCCAGGGTCAGGTTCTTGGTGTGAAAGAGGAAAAATGTCTAACTACCCTAGTGATGGGCGCGGTCCAAACAGGCCCTGCTCTTTGGAGTTGAGGGTGTACAGCTGGTGCTGCCTGCCTTTCCAGGAATGCAGCTATGGGAATCACAGCCTAAACATGGCAGGGCCTGGGGCCTACTGCTTCCAGCTCTAGTCACCCTTATGGAGGAAATGCTGAAAATGTAGGCAAAAAAGATTTCTAATCGAAGATTTCATAGAAGGTAGTTTTCATTTAGAAAAATTCGGGATGTCCACCAGAAGGGAGTGATGCAGTCAGGTGGCACTGTAGGATCAACACTGGACTATGAACCAGAAGGTCGGTGGTTCAAACCTACCACCCTCTCCTCAGAAACCCTTTTAGGGTCACTCTGAGTTGGAACCAACTCATTGGCACTTAACAACAGCAGCAAAGGAAGGGAAATCAAAGCTAGCTGATAGGATGGGGGATTTTACAGCCACACAGATGATGTGTTATGAAAGTTGATTTTATTTATTTATTTTTTTAACCATGATGACAACTAACAGTTTTCAGTAAGAACTAGTATTTAAATTAAAGATAACAGTTTGAATACTATTATTCCTGTTTTACAGGAAGTGTAAATGAAAAAGAAAGTGGGACATAGAAATGATTTAGATAAAACTGAAACTTTGCAGAGCTCTACGTCTTGTTTACTGTTGTTGTTAGCTGTTTTTGTTAGTGGCTGTCGACAGTGGAGCTGGCCCTCAGGGTATTCTGGGGGTCATCCTTTTGGGAGCAGATGGCCAGGTGTTTCTTCTGGTGGAGCTGCGGGGTGGGTTGGAACCGTGGACCTTTCGGGTAGTTACAGAGCTCTTAACCATTGTGCCACTATGGTGTTTTATAGATCATTTAGGGACATGTGTAAGTGATAAAATGAGAAATGCATGTGGGCGGGGGGGTAAATACTAATCCAGGTTGTGGTCGTCTTCCTCCCACTACGGTGTGCTCAAGATGGTGGCCTTGGGGGCTTTGATGATAAGGTTTTATTGCTTAGGTTTATTGGTGAGTGGAGTCCTGGTGTGGTGCTGTAGGATAGGCACTGGACTACTAACTGCAGGGTTGGTGGTTCAAATCCATTAGCCACTCCCTGGAAACTCTGTTACAAGGTCACTGCACTTAGCAGTCACAACAATTGATGAGTATCTTGAGTTTACATTACATTTTGTTTGTGCTTTTTATGTATCTTAAATGTGACATGAAACATTTCAGGAAATAACAGCAGATGTTGGTGTTGTTAGTGCGTTGAGTTGGTTCCAACTCAGACTCTATAAAAGACTTACTGAGGAGCGGCTGGTGAGTATGACACCAGTTATGTCTAAAAACGTAGATGAACAAATACAGAGGCCTCCAAGAAGAAATGCTACGAAACACTGGTTGTTCGTGGGCTGGATGATTATGCTCGACACTTGTGTGTTTTCCTTTAGCATGTACTCTAATTTCTGTCATTCCTCCCTCTCTGGGCAGGACCCTGATGCTTGGTGTGACCTGAGTAAATTTGACCTTCCTGAGGAGCCGTCCACAGAGGGTAGTATCAGTAGTAGTCCAGTGCAGCCGCCAGCACAGCAGCAGGTACAGGTGCCCAGCCAGCGTGTCGTCCCAGCATCCAGCGTGACTGAGTACCGCCTGGACGGCCACACCATTTCAGATCTCAGCCGTAGCAGCCGGGGCGAGTTAATCCCTATCTCTCCAAGCACTGATGTTGGGGGCTCAGCCATCAGCACACCACCGTCGGTGCTCAAGCGGCAAAAGAAGAGGCGTGTTGCTCTGTCCCCCGTCACGGAGAACAGTGCCAGCCTCTCCTTCCTGGACAACTGCAACAGCCTCACTCCCAAGAGCACGCCTGTCAAGACCCTGCCCTTCTCCCCATCTCAGGTGTGTGGTCGTACCCATGGCCACTCAGGGGAGAGGCCTGGGAATCTACCTCCCAAAACCAGCTGTTGTAACCTTACAGACTTTTTTTTGGTTAGATAAATTTTATTACATCAAAAATACCAACAGTAGGTTTTAGGAATCACCCGGCCTTGTTTCCATCCATAGCTGGATAGCTTTTATATCTTACTCATCAGCCTGTTGGACGGTTCCTTTTTCAGACACATAGATACCATCCAAAAATTTTCGGATATCCTTGTTTCTAACTGTAGTGGCTTGCTGAATTAAAGCAGCTGAATTTGATACAAGCCCAATGTCATTTCTTTCAAGAACTAATTCATCTTTCTGGGCTAGAGATACTGAACAAGCAACACCTACCCTCATCCGAACCCTCCGAATGTGTTTTTCACCCAGGAAGTTTTGGATTTCAACAAGAGACCCACTTTCTTGGATAACAACATTGATGAGGAAGTGAGCATCCACAGACCTCATGTTGTAAAGGAAGCCCAGTGTGACACCCTTGATCATATTCTGCATGTGACTACAGATGATTGCAGACTGTACCCAGTTCCTTTCTGTTTCCCCACCATTTGTAAACGCGAAGCCTCTTCTTTTTCTTCCCCAGGAGGCTGATCACCACATTGATGTGGTTGAAGTCCCTCTGCAGGGTTCCCTGGGGGCCCTTCACGATGACTGTGCGGTCCTTCAGACTGATGTCAGCGTTCTCTGGAACGCTGACAGTCTTGTTGCTGAGAATGGTCTTCATTTTCACAGTAGATGTGGCAAAGAAAGACCTTACCGACTTTAAAAGTTAACTAAGACTGAATGGACAACAGTTATCCCACAAGATAGAGGAGACGTTGGGGGCAGGTGAAGGGTGGGCTGAGATACTAAATCAGTGGAGTGGAAGAACGAGAATGGAAACAAAGGATGTTGACTCAAACTGGACACTAGGAGCACCTGCTTGCTACTTTCACCAAAAATAGAATAAACTACTAACTTTAAAGACCCTCTGGGGCACAGTTGAGGTGTGACATGAACCAGCAATGGCTCAACAAGTGGTGGTGGTCTCCCCTGCATCTAGCACAGGGTCTGGCACACAGCGGGTGTTCAGTGAACCACTTGCCTTCTGGCTGAAAGTGGACACAAGGTGGCAGACGGAGCAGATGGCTATCTGAGTCAGGCCAGCACTTTCAGAGCTTTCCTTCCTCTCTGGGAGGGCAGGAGAGGAGGGCAGTGCTTCGAGGTATGTACTTTGGTGTCAAGTTGGGGTTTGTGTCTCACTTCTAGGACTCAGTGTAAGATTGTAATTAATCCCTCTAAGCTTCAGTGTTCCTTATCTGTAAAAGGGGTTAGTAACAGCATCTACATCTCAGTATTTGTGAGAATGAATTCGAATTACATGTGTACAGGCTTAGAAAAACCAAAAGAGAAGAGCACGCTCGGCGTTTCTCAAGCTGATGGAACAGAGAAAAAATTCAAGCCTACACTTGTGATATTGAAGGATTCTATGGACAGTTTGAAACTACCAGCTGTTCTGTGGGAGAAAGATGAGGCATTCTGCTCCTGTAAAGATTGACGCCTTGGAAACCCTGTACAGGGTCGCTATGAGTCGGCACCGACTCCACAGCACATAATAACAAGTGGACAAACTGTTGAATGATGCAGAAAGCATCAAAAGAAGATGGAAGGAATACAGAGTTACTGTACCAAAAAGAACTGGTCGATATGTTCAACCATTTCAGGAGGTAGCATATGATCAAAAGCCAGTGATCTTGAAGGAAGAAGATCAAGGTGCATTGAAAGCATTGACTAAGAACAAGGCACTGGGAATAGATGGAATACAAATAGAAATCTTTCAACAAACTGATGCAGCCCTGGAGTCATTCACTCATCTATGCCAACAAATTTGGAAAACAACTATCTGGCCAATTGACTGGAAGAGATCTGTATTTGTGCCCATCCAAAGAGAGATGATGCAACAGAATGTGGAAATCATTGGCAATATCTTTGATATCCCATGTGAGTAAAGTTTTACTAAAAATAATACAAATACAACTGCAATCATACATTGACAAGAGAATATCCAGAGGTTTTTAAGCTGGATTCAGAAGAGGATGGCAAATAAGGGATATCATTGCTGATATCAGATGGATCTTGGCTGAAAGCAAAGAATATCAGAAAGATGTTTACCTGTGCTTTATTGACTATGCAAAGCCTTTTTTTTTTTTTTTCTTAATGTTTTATTGTGAATTATGTGACAGTTTACATGGGAGAACATTAGTTTTACATTCATTCATTCTATCGTACATTGTTTCATTGCCATGATTTACAATCTCCTCCATCCAAAGGGTCTGCCCCCAGTTGTCAGCACACAGCCCCTCTCCCTCTCTGGATCTAAAGTCTCCAGCTGCTTCATTTCTCCACATCATCATCTCTGCCTCCGTCTCTGGCGTCACTGCTTCTCTGGGTAGGGTCTAAAGTGGGTAGATTTTTTTTTTTAATGTTTTATTGTGAATTATGTGATAGTTTACATGGGAGAACATTAGTTTTATATTCATCCTATAGTATATCATTTCATTGTTATGGTTACAGTCCCCTGTATGCATCATCAGCACACAGACCCTCTTCCTCTCTGTGTCTGTAGTCCCCAACAGCTCCATCTCTCCATGTCATCGTCTCTGCCTCCCTCGCAGGCATCAGTGCTTCTCTGGGTAAGGTCCCGCTCTCCGCTCTTCTCCCTTCATGGTCCTAGGGATCTCCGCTCTTAGGCTGAAAAGTTAATCACTCTCTTCCTTGCTAAAACACTTCTACCTTTACAATTCCAACCCTCACAAGCAGTCCAGATAATAATTACTATTATCACAAGAGATCCATCTGGATTTCATTTCATCAGCCCCGCCTAGACAGATTGGATACTACTCAGTGGAGATTCTACCTTCCTTCATGCCCTATGAATCTAACTTCCCTCTTGAAAGTTTGTAAGCCAGTCACTTCTTGCCTTTGTAGGCCCCCCCCCCCCCCCCCCCCCATTTTGGGTAGCCAATGTCCAAGTTGCCCATCCCTGTCTACTCTGTGTATAGAGGGGGCGGGAATGAGCCTTGCTGTAAGGATTGGTTCCCTTTTTTGAGCTACTGCATGCATAGGTGTAGGTCAGGTTCATCAAATTGTATCAGATTACGCTTTTTCCCCTCTTCTTTCTCTTTTCTGGTTGAGCTCTGATCATCTAGTGGTTGAAGCCAGGTCAAGTGGGTATTATCTGCAAGTGTGGGTGTTCTTGTGCAGATTCCCTCTCCACTCTAGTCCTCTGTGGCTATGTCACTGACTCTGGGCCCAAGAGTCCCTAGGTCTTGCCATACTGCTGGCCAACCAGGTCTTCACCTGGGTTCATAGAAGTCTATTGAACATTTTAGGGTTTAGTTCGCTGCCTCATTGCTCCTCCTCTCTCACTTTCCCTTTTGATGACGAGCGTAGTGACCAATCAGAGTGTGTATTCCCATTGAGTCTTAAGTCCTGGAACAGGGCCTGCACCGAGGGGACCCGACCACTTGTCTTGATGTTTCCTGGGCAAGCAACTTGCTTGTTCTTGTAGTAACAGTCTGCCTCTATTGTATTTTTTACGCAAAGCCTTTTGATTGTGTAGATTTTGATAAGCTGTGGACAACATTGCAAGGAATGAGTATTCCAGAACACTTAGTGAGGAACCTGTATATAGACCAAGAGGCAGTTGTTTGAACAGGACAAAGTAACATGGAATAGTTTAAAATTAGGAAAGGTGTGCGGCAGGGTTGTATTCTTTGACCATGCTTATTCAATCTATATGCTTAGCAAATAATCTGAGAAGCTGGGTTATGTGAAGAAAAACATGGTATCAGGATTGGAGGACGACTCATTAACAACCTGTGATATGCAGATGACACAACCTTGCTTGCTGAAAGTGAAGGGACTTAAAATACTTAACTGTTGAAGATCAAATACCACAGCATTAGGTATGAGTTGTATCTCAACGTAAAGAACACAAAAATTCTCACCACTGACCAATAAACAACATCCATATAAATGGAGAAAAGATTGAAGTTGTCAAAGACTTCATTTTATTTGGATAGACCATCAACACAGGAGCAGCAGTCAAGAAATCAAAAGACGTATTGCATTAGGCATATCTGCTGCACAAAACCTCTTTGAAGTGTTGAAAAGCTAAGATGTCAGTTTGAGGACTAAGGTGTGCCTGCCCCAAACCATGGTATTTTCAGTAACCTCATATGCGTGCAAAAGTTGTGCAGTGAATAAGGAAGACTGTAGAAGAATTGACACATTTGAGTTATGGTGTTGGAGGAGAATATTGAAAGTGGACTGCCAAAAGAACAAACAGATCTCTGTTGGAAGAAGTACTGTCAGAGTGTGCCTTGGAAACCAGGGTGGCTAGACTCCTTCTCTCATACTTTGGACATATTACAGGAGGGGACTGGTCCTAGGAGAAGGATGTCATGTTTGGTAAAGTGGATGGTCTGAGAAAAAAACAAAAGACCTTCAACAAGGGGGATTGGCACAGTGGCAGCAGCAGTGGGTTCAGGCATAGCAGTGATTTGAGGTTGGCCCAGGACTGGGCAGTGTTTCATTCTATTGTACATAGAGTCCCTGTGAGTCAATATCAACTCAGTGACACCTAACAACAACGTTTGGCCCAGAGCCTGATGTGAGAGGACTTTATAAAAGTTATCACCACTACCACCACCGTCCTGTCCTGTGGCCTCATAGTTCAGTTAAGAGATAGTTTTATTTCCTCAGAAAAGACTGTCACTTTCTCTGCCTCAACTCCATCAGCAGCACCTGAGGCTGGGAAATGGCCTTCTAGTTGGCCTGGCCAACGCTAGGAATAGTAGGTGATAAGTCCGGGTCTACATGAGCCTGATGAATCCTGGTGCAGCACTAGGTTAATGTGCTGGATTGCAAGGTCGGCGATTCAAGCTCACCAGCTACTCAGAAACCCTATCCAGGATCATTAGGAGTCGGAACCTACTTGATAGCACTTCACAGCATGAGCCTACTAGGTGGACTGTTGTCCCATCTGTCACCACCTTGGTTCCCTTATACCTAATAGGTGGTGGGGGGGGTGCCTCATAGGTCGGAAGAGGATCTTGGTACATCAGAGTGCAAACATGCTGGAAGGAGGGGTTCAGGGTCTCCCATCCTCTCCCAGGGCCCTTAGTCCACATGCACCTTATATTCTTGCCTGGTTTTCCTCCTCTGGCAGTTTCTGAACTTCTGGACCAAACAGGACACACTGGATCTAGAGAGCCCCTCACTGACGTCCACCCCTGTGTGCAGCCAGAAGGTGGTGGTCACCACGCCCCTGCACCGGGACAAGACACCCCTGCACCCGAAACATGCTGCGTGAGTGTGTGACACCCTTCCCTCCAACACCAGTTCCTGGGAGCCAGCCTACTTCCCCCAGGGGCCTGGTTGGGTACTTGCTTGGGAAAGATCTGAGGCTCTGTTTGACTTTTTCCCTGCTGGCCACTATATCTCTTCAGATTTTGTCATTAGGGTCTGGTGCGTTGTCTTTGTTGTTTCTCATTTTCATTAAAAAAATTCTTAATTTCTAACAAAAAGAGACCAAATTACTGCAAAAAAAAACTTCTCTCCATCTGTTAACAAGTTGGAAGCTGCGAATACATAGTGTTTTTGAATTGTTTTATGTGAAGGACAACAATGTCTTTTCTCAGTCTCTCTGGGCACTGAGTCAGTAGTTTGCTGCTTAAGAGACCTTGGTCTGCCCAGCTCCAGCCTTAGGATTGGTCTGCGCCCCTCCCTTCCAGCTCCTGCGAGGCACAGCCTTTCCAGTACAGCAGCTTGTCCAGGTTGCTTCCTCACATGGTTTCAGGGGACTGCTTCATGATGTCAAGTTCCACAGAGAGCCGTGTGACTTTCTGTTGGTTACATTTGCTGTGGGAAAAGCTCTGCTGTCTATTATTTCCTGAGGTAATGATGCCAATGACCTGTTGCAATTTTGGTTCCATAATTTGAACCATTCTCAGGAATGATACATAATTTCTGAAAGGATTTATAAATCTCTTCGTTAGAAATCAAGTCTCTAAACAGACACCAAAAGTATTAAGATGGATTTCATGAGAAATGATTTTCCATTCAAGCTGTAGTTCTGCACTGTGGTAAGGAGAGCTGCAGGCAGTGACCCTCCCCCTTTTCTCTGTCTCCTTCTCACCCTTGTCCTTACTCTGATGTGGTGACTACAGCTTCTCTGTTACCTTCTACATGTAGATACATTTCCATGGTTTTCATTCCCCTCTATATGGTTCGAGTTATCTTTCATGTATGGAAGTTTTCTTTCAACAACTCTTTAGCAGTTTTCTCTTTTGTCTCTTTCTGAGGTTTTTTTTTTTTTTTTGTGACTTCTTGTTCTAGAATTTTGGTCACACACAAGCTATTCCATTTGATGCTGTCTGCACAAATGGCAGGGAGGCTATGTCTGTCTCCCTCTGGGTTCATAAGGGGGAAGGAGAATCTAGCTCAAAGTAGGCTCAAGGCTGATTCTTATGAAGTAAAGGTCAGACATGCCTTCATCCTTCAACCTTCTTACCCTTGCCTGACACCAACCATCCCTTCCACAGCGCATTCTGCTTCGCATCTGGGATCACAATCCGCTAAAGTGGCCACAGAGATCTCAGAGATAATACTTAAGGTTATGGGGTTTATTAGGGACGTGAACAGGGTACAATTCAGGATCAGAAACAACTCAGGATACAGCAGTGCTCCAGTCAGGAGTGACTCTTTTCTGTTGTACTGCACGCATGCCTCATTCTTGTCTTTAACCTCTCAGCCTTGTGGCCCCCTCAGCCTCTACTATGCTTAGACAAGCGTTACAAGGTTCCTTTCCCCAGTCTGTAAACGCCCAAAGGTGGGGTGCTGTGGGTTAATGCGCTAGACTGCAAAGTCCATTTGAACTGCAGGGTTGGTTGTTCAAGGTCACCAGTAGCTCCTTGGAAACCCTCTACAGGGTCACTATGGGTTGGAATTGACTTAATGGCCCTTAAAAACAACAACAACAATAAATGCCCAAAGGACACATTCTATAAGCCAGCCTCCTGCCTGTAGGCACTTAGCCCATGGGCCAGGAAGCTCTCTCTCCATACAGCTGTTTGCTCCTCTCTTCTTGCTTCTGAGATGACGTAATCCTAGCAGGACAGCAGCCCTGCCAGTCGTGGATTAGAGCCCGAGGGACTCTATTTGCTCTCAGCCATTTGGTGGGAATTTTTGTTTGGCTTCTAACTTTTCATTTACTGTTTTTTCCATGTAGTGTACAGAACCTATACTGTTGTGACAGTCACTATTAATCTACTTAGCGTTCTGCATATGTAGAATGCTGTTATAGCTGTTTCAGTGTCTCTGTCTGCTAAGTTACGTATCTGTTTCAATTTGGGTCACTTTTGGTTGGTAGATTTTCTTCTCATTTTGGTTGTAACTTGACTTGTCAGTTTTCTGCTGCTTGCCTCCCTGGTAGTATTTCATTGGATGCCAGGCATTGTGCATTTTACTTTGAGTACTGGGTGGTGCTGTAGGATAAGCACTGAATTGTAATCACCAGGTCAATGGTTCAGATCCATCAGCTGCTCCTTGAACTCTATACAAGTTCACTCTGAATTGGAACTGACTTGATGGAACTTAAAACAACAATTGCATGCTTTTGTACTCCTATAGATTTTGTAGAGCTTTGCTCTGGAATGTAGTTAAGCTACTTAGAAATGGTTTGATCCTTTTGGGTCTTCCTTTGGAGATTTATCGGGTGGGACCAGAACAGTATGGAGCTGCGAATCCTTCATTACTTGTCCTGATGGATGTCTTATGAATGACACAGTTTCTTACCTGGGCAGTGGGGGACAAGTGTAACAAGTGTACTGTTCCTCTAATCCTTTCAGATGGCTCTTTCCTGCTCTGGAGCCTTTTTGCCGCTAACACTGACTCCTGCTCCGCTGAGCCCTCGGCAGGTCCCAGGGTGCTCTCCTGCAGCTTTCTCTCCTCTGAAACTCGTCTTATAAACATTAAGCTGCCTTGGTCTCCCTGGGTTCTCAGTAGTCATCTCTCTCTCTGTCTCTCTCTTTTTTTTTTTTTAAAGAAAAGGAATGTTTATAGACTATTTATTCATAATTGTCAAAAAAAAACAAACACACCTGGAAACCACCAAATAACTCATTCAGTGACTGGGTAAATAAGCCGTGGTCTATCCATACAATGAAATACTGTGCAGCCATAGGAACTAGCAAAGAGCGGATACGTGGCACAAACTGGATGAATCCAACCTATGTTAAGTGAGACAAGGAGCCATGATGGTGCAGTGGATTAAGTGTTGGACTGCTAACCAAAAGATTGGTGATTCAAACCCATTGGCCACTCCATGGAACAAAGTTAAGGTCGTCTACTTCCGTAAAACGCCTCAGAAATGCTATAGAGCAGTTCTTCTCTGACCTATAGGGTGGTTATGAGTAGGGTGGTTAAATGACAAAAAAACTCAAAAGGTTACTGCTACATGCTATGTAACTCCATTTATGTGTCAGCATCATCTCTTCAACTTAGAAGTTTTGCAGGCTCCTCTTGGGTTTCCCCCTGCATGGGGCCCTGAAAGGATTTGGTCTCCTACAATGAGCTGGGCAGCCAGGGTTCACCTCAACTCTTTCCCATATCTGGAACCATTGTTCCTTCATTGCCTTTTGGCCAGTGTCTTGAAATTATTTGCTTCATATATTATATCTTGTTTCAGGAGATGGGAAATATCTAGTCCCTGACATTTTATCTTAGTCAGTGGGAGTCTGGTGCCGTGTCTTTAAGTCTGTGTTATTTACACAAGCCTTGCTAATACAGTGGTTAAGTGATTGACGGCTCTTTTTTTTTAATGTTTTATTGTGAATTATATGATAGTTTACATGGGAGAACATTAGTTTTACATTTATCCTTTTATATATCAATTCATTGCCATGATTACAATTCCCTCTATGCATCATCAACCAACCAAAGGGTATACACTACAAACCTGCCCCCCGTTTGTCAGCACACAGCCCCTCTCCCTCTCTGTGTCTAAAGTCCCCAGCTGTTCCATTTCTCCACATCATCATCTCTGCCTCCATCTCAGGCATCACTGCTTCTCTGGGTAGGGTCCCGCTCTCCGCTCTTCTCCCTTGATGGTTCCAGGGACCTCTGCTCCTAGGCTGAAAAGTTAATCACACCCCTCCTTGCTATAATACGTTTACCTTTACATTTCCAACCCTCATAAACAGTCCTGATAACAGTTATTCACTGTTGTATCACTAGAGACCTGTCTGCATTTCATTTCATCAGCCCCGCCTAGATAGATTGGATACTACTCAGTGGAAATTCTACCTTCCTCCGTGCCCTCTGGACGTAGGCTCCCTCTTGAAAGCTTGTAAGCCAGTCACTTCTTGCCTTTGTAGCCCTCCATTTTGGGTAGCCAGTGTCCAAGTTACCCATCGCTTTGATGGCTCTTTTTGGTCTTCCTTTTTCCCATTTTAAAACTGCCTTTTTTTTTTTTTTGGAAGTAGTTTTTTTCAAGATATTATCATTATTTAGGCTCGATCCAAAATGTTACTGACTTTTCTTTCCCATTTTCCCCCCTTATTGGTGGTGGGGAGGGGGGTGCACAGCTCAATAAAACAAAAAACCAGTCAGTATGTCTTATTTCTGATGGTGGTAGACATTATGGTGAAAGAGGATGCTGGGGGGCGGAGGGGTGGAGACAGAAGCGCAGCGAAGAGTTTATGTCTTAGGTTGGGGCTCAGGACCGGCCTCAGAGCAGGAGCGAGCCAGAAAGAAATCTGGTAAGGGCGATTTCTGTACGGAGTAGACAGCAAAGGTTCCAAGGTAGAAACACATCGTTTATGTTTCTAAAGACCTTAGTTTGCCGTGAGCTGGCTGTAGCTATAGAGAATGCTAAAAGGCAGTTCATTGGGCTCACTTGGTGCCATTGTGTTGCTCAGGAGGGACTAGTGGAGCTGGAGTAACAAATTGCTCTAAGATCTTAGTGGTTCATCTTGTCTCCCTCTTCTTTCATCTTCATATTCCTAGGCATGGTCTTAAGTCATTTGGCTTTCATTCTGTGAGAAACTGGGGACTGTGTTCCAACTTCCTGCTTTGAGTTTTCTGCAGATCCCCTACCTACCGAGTCTGTGGTTTACAGAATGGCATTTTTCCATCATGAAGTAACCTTCTGTGTTTCATCCTCCTTCTTCTGACATGTGCACTCAGTTCTAGCTGACGCTGTGAATTAATTGGGAGTGTTCTCTGTTTCCTGCTGAAATTTTGCATCACATGGAGCTATCTGATCCTGCGGCTCAGGTTCATCGCTTTAGTTGCAACTGGGAGATGCTTTAGTTTGTCGTCACTCATTCCTACAGAGCATGGGCTCTCTCTGTCGTGTGGGAAGATCAGACTTTGGGAAGAGATTGTGCTGATTCCCGTTTAATCTCTTAGCCCTGAAGAAGGAAGAAAAGAGTGAGCTAAGAGGGTTTAGTTCTAAGTGTTTGTTTCCCCATGGAATGTCCAGCAGTCTGGAGGGTGTGGGGCCGGAGCTGTGGCCTCTGCCCTCCAGGCCCTAAAGCAACCTGGCCATTTTTCTCCAGGCCTTCTGATTGCCATGGAGACGCATACCTTAGAAGGCAGTCCTGGTGGGAGAGGGACCATGCTGCCAGAGTGGAAGCTTTATCCACCACCGCCACTCCTTGGTTTGAAATTATAAAGGGAGATATTCACAGAGCAGTTCAACATTTTCCAATTCTAGTTTGGTGGTACCATTAACATTCTTCCAGTGCAATCACCAACCTGTAATCACTGCCCAGTTTGCTGTCACCATAGACAGAAACATGCCACCCACAGCCAGCAGGTCCCTGCTCCCTCTTCTGTCGCCTTCCCCAGTGGGCTCTGCACCGCCGGCAGATTCTCACAGCTTCTGCCTGTAGATCACACCCTTCCCTCTCCCGATTATGTTCCGCACTGATGATTTTGAGAAGAGTAAGCGGAGCACACAAGTGGGACACACTGTCTTATCCTGACGTCTCCCTTTCAGGCACTACTGCCATCTGCTCTCTGGGAGAGGGACGTGTCGTTCTGCACATCCCCCTCACCCCTGCTCACCGCCCTCTCCTTGTGCTGACTGTGGCCCATGGGCCTTATTTTATGAAAGGCACACCATCTTGTCACCCACTAGATCTCTTGGCCCCTCAGAGTTGGTGCCTAGACTCTGCCCTGTTCTCTTTTGTTTCTGAGGAAGGCCTTTCCTACACGTCCCTCACTAAGACCTACCTGGGCAGGGTGGTTGGCAGAATGATGGGACAAGAGCATGTGGGAGGTGTTTCCTCCTGCGCTGATGCTAGTGGTCCCAGTGGAGGGGAGGCAGCTCAAAGCAGAGAGCTATTGTCTGTCAACCCCACCTCTGAGCCACCTTCTGTGCCCCCTGGCAGGTTTGTAACCCCAGATCAGAAGTGCTCCATGGACAACACTCCCCACACACCAACCCCGTTCAAGAATGCCCTGGAGAAGTATGGACCACTAAAACCCTTGGTACGTGTTGTGGTCAGGCGGGGATCTGCCAAGGCCCTCTTGAACTCATTCACCCTTTCCCTCAACAACCCTGGGAAGGTGTGGATACCCTAACTTTATAGATGGGGAACCTGAGACTGACTGCTGATGCTGAGGAAGACACCCGTTATGGCTGTGGAGGCTTAATAGGGTGTCAGAGGCACTTAAGGGGGATTGAGGTCATCTGCCTACTTGTCCAGGGTGGGCCAGTTAACAGTCATGAAATGAACTTGGGAGGTCAGCTTCCTGTCTGCATGGCCCAGCACAGCCACATGGTGATTGGGTCTCCCCCCTGTCCTTGTGAGTCTGGGTGTTGTGTTCACACAGCCTGTGTGCAGTGGCTCACATGGGAGGCCCCCGCCCCTGCCCACAGCCCCAGACTCCCCACCTGGAGGAGGACCTGAAGGAGGTGCTGCGTTTGGAGGCTGGCATCGAGCTCATCATTGAGGATGACGTGAGGCTGGAGAAGCAAAAGAGGAAGCCAGGGGTGAGTGCCTGGGGTGGAGAGGACCCATTGGGGGGCCGCTAAGTTTGGCGCAGGTGGCCGAAGTGGGGCCTTGGGGGACTGGAGCTGCATCACGTGTCCTTGTCTCCCTGAGAGGTATCCATGGAAGGGAAGGGAAGGCCTGGAGTCTGTGGTCAGGGGCAGACTGTAGACAAGCACACTGATGGCTGTCTGGTTGTACATGGTGCTAAAGGCTCCAGAGAGGAGACGGAGCTGGGCTCTAGGAAGTGAGCTGGGGCCACATGGGCTCAAGGTCAGGTTGGCAAGTCAGCAGGACCACTGGCCAGGGACATGGGTACAGAGGGACGAGGAAGTGACCAAGTGACCATCCCAAGCCAGCCTAGCTACCTTCCTGGTAGTCGGTAATTCCTGTGGCTCTTTTTCTTCTCTTTTTCCCAGACTGTTCTCCCCGAGGAGTGGGTGGGGTGGGGTAAGGGGAGTCGTTTGGAATACACCCAGGTCAGCAATGTCTGTCATAGCTCTTTGACCGCAGTGGGCTATGGCGGTGGGTGAGGGAGCTGAACCCTGGAGCTGGGCCCGGGCAGAAGCAGGTGCAGTTGCCCAGTGTAGAGACTTGGACCAAGGTCCCCAAGACCTTCTCTTCGGTGTCATTGGGGGATCTGAACTGTGGCAGCACCTGACTAGAACACTCTTGGTCTGAGGAGCACCAGACCCTAGATCTACTCTCCAACCCCAGGATTGGAGCTGACCCCTGACCTCTTGCTTATGAAATGTGCAGGGATGGGATCAGGGCATTAAGGGTTTTATGTTTCCATGTGACTTGATTGGGGGTGAGTGTTCTAGATGTTGCCTAGGTGATTCTCTGCCTGGTCTTTTGTGGGGGGTGTTAGTATAGTGAAGGGTACCTGGGGAGTGCAGATGGAGAACATGCTTATCTGCCCACTGAAAAGTTAGATGTGCGTCCACCCAGAGACCCCCTTGGAATAAAGACCTGGCTGTCTGCTTCCAAGAAAGAAGCCATTGAAAGCCTTATGGAACAGATTACTCTGACACATGTGGGGTTGCCATGAGTTGGAATCAACTGCGTGACATCTAGAAATCAGTGTGCTGGAGGGAAGCTGGAGGCTGACAGGTCCATTGACCTCTCTTGCCACCACAGTATGCTACAGGGCAGTTGACATGGGCACAGACTTTGTAACGGGGTCAGAGTTTCTGGTTGCCCCACGCCTCAGGCACCAGACTCTTGCCAGCTGGGCCTGGTTTGAAGGCGACACTGCCAGGGTTGCTGGGACAAATGCTGATGGTGGCCACACGGACCCCTGACCCAGATCTAACCATTTTCTTCCCTGCCCCCAGCTGCGGCGGACCCCCATCAAGAAAGTGCGGAAGTCTCTGGCTCTTGACGTTGTGGATGAGGACATGAAGCTGATGATGTCTACACTGCCCAAGACCGCGTCCTTGGTGAGCGGGGCTGAGGGAAGCCAGCTGTAGGCCATCCCCACCCCCAGAACTTTACAGACTTCTTCTTCCCCAGACAGCATGGTGTCTCTTGGGAATGTCTAATTGTGGGAGAAGCCTAGGGGTGGGGATGCTCTGCTGATCATGGCCTGGCCTTCTGGAGGCCTGGGATCAGTGGGGAGGGGCTGCTGCTGAGGCATGGGTCTGGGCCCGCACCCCTGGCACCAATCAGAGCAGCAATGCTGAGTTGCCCAAAGGGTTTTCTCTGGCAAAAATTACATTGCTAGAGAACAAACAAGATGGCGGATCGGGTGGACATATAGCAGAGAGCTCCGCCAACAACA